CCACAAAACACACCACAAGCCTCACCGAAGTCTCCTTGCTACCACGATCTCGCCCACAGGAAGCCGCGACCACGTGGCAGCAGGACAAATGGCTGCGGATCCGGTTCGTAGCTCAAGGCGGAGTTCGCAAGTAGAGGTAAATTTTTGGGGCCGGAGCTGGTCGTATCTAGAAAAATTCGTAAGGAGGGGCGTTCGTAACTAGAGGTACCACTGTAAATAAATTAAATATTGGAGGACAAGATAGCAGGGGCACTGAAGGAGTTGCCAAGAAGAAAAGCCCCTGGAAATGACAACATTTCATCAGAATTGTTTAAATCAACAGCAACAGCAGCAATTACACAATTAAGTAAAACATATGGGATGCCAGCGAATGGCTGAAAGACTGGAAAAGGTCAGGTTCATCCCAATCCCCCAAAAGGATGACACCCACAACTGTTCCAACTACTACACAAAAGCTTTGATTTCATATGCTAGCAAAATAGTGTTGAAAATCATATAATGAAAAAAGAGCTGCTCAACATCCATGCTGGTTTTAGAAGAGGAAGAGGTACTTGTGACCACATTGTGGGTGTTTGTGGGATCCCGGAACAAGCATGTGAATTTCAGAAGGATATATATTTATGCTTCATTGACAATAGCAAAGCTTTCGACTGAACTAAAAAATTATCCAAGTATTTGTAAGAAATGAATGTTCCAGAATGCTTAATTCAGTCAATAAAATCATTGTACACAACAAAGAAGGTGCTGTCAAAACACAGACTAGTTTAAGATTGGAAAAGATGTCTGGCAGGGCTGTATTCTATCCCCATTTCTATTTGATTTATATACAGAGGCAGTTTTGAGGAACCTTAACTAAGATGAATCAGAACTGGAATAAAGATCGGTGGCAGGAACATCAACAATTTCAGAGATGCGGGCAACACTATATTACTGCAGAAAATGAAGAGGATATAAAACAAATTATTCTAAGTCAAAGTAAAAAATGAAAAAGCTGGATTGCAGCTAAACATGAAGAAGAAGTTTAAAGTAATGAAAATAGCTGGAAATGGTGACATCAAGATAAAAATTGACAACAAAGAAATTGAATCAGTCCAGGATTTTATTTGATCATTCGGTTCCAAAAATGATCCAATAGGAGATACTTAACCCCAAATTAAATGGGTTTCATGGGCCGTATCACTTGGCCATGCTTCAGTGACTAGGAAGAAGATATGGAGCAACAAGGCCATCAATCTCAATACCAAGTACAGAATAGTAAATATGATTGTTTTTCTATAACTACTTGGGATGATGAAAGCTGGACAATAAAAAAGTGAATAGGAGAAAACTAGACTCCTTTGAATTATGGGTTTGGAGATGTCTACTGTGCACACCTTCAACAGCAAAAATTACAAACAAGGAGATTTTAGATTGCATCAAGCCAAAACTATCACGGGATGCTAAGACTACCAAGCTCAGGCCATCTTATTTCGGCCATATTGTGAGATCAAATTCCTTAGAAAAGTCAATTATATTGGGAATAGTTGGAAGTACTGGAAAACAAGGCTGGTAAAGAAAATGCTAGATTGACCCTATCAAGTAAGAGACTGGTTTAAATCTCGAAACGTTAAATGAAATTGTAAAATATTGGAAAGAACGAAGAGAGTTGATCTTAAAGGGTCTGAAAGTTGGGTGAGACTGAACAGGTAAAGGCAAACAGGTTGGGCAAGGCTGCCTAAACATGATTGCTCCCATATGTCAGGCACTATTAGCAAGCTTTCTATCCTCTTCCTAATAAGGTGCAGAAATGTATATTTGTTTCCATTCAGAACCCACCTTGACATGACATTTTTGTCCCACTGAATAAATCAGGCTTCACTACATTCCTCTTCATTCAGAGAAGTGTTATTTCAATGTGTTTTGCTTTTTTCCCTTCTACTGCAATTTTGATAACAAACTTGAAGTATTATAAATCAAGTGATAAGAACAGTCATGGGTCAACCATTGGCTGCCTTGTCAGCCTGGGATCTGCTGTCTCCTGTCTCCTGTTTTTTATCTCCAGGAGCAATTCCCTCATTTACCAAGAAGTCAAGTCTCAGACAGAATAGGCAAAGCAAACAAAGAGAAAAAAAGGTGATGAAGTTAAGGGATAAACCCTTCCAGGAAACCGGAGGCCCTTAATATATGGAGAAGGAAGAAGTTTTTTTTATCTCCAGGATACTCCCTCATATCCAATAAATGGAAACAGAAAGGAGAAAATCTCCACAAACTGAGGGTTTTTTCTCCCCCTTCTCCCATTTGCATTCAACTTATGCACACTGACACCTCTAGCTTATATGGCTGCTGTCTGCATCTGATAAAATATGCTCTGGCCAGTTAAAGCAGATGCCGCAGTAAAGCTTGGCGGCAGGGCTTATGCATCGCCCTGAGTTTGGCTTATTTGCTTAGCCTGATATCTGATCCCAGCCACTGTGATCTGTAAAGCAAGGTGTAGAGCAAGGCATGTTGTGTGAACCCAACCAATGCGGATTATTCCATTAGCCATGGTGAAAGAAACCTGGGTTTAGCACAATATGTAATCCAAGTCACTGTCTAGAATGTGTCCTCCAGACCAGGGTTCCTCAACCTCAACAACTTTAAGATGGGTGGACTTCAACTCCCAGAATTCC